ATATACTATTTCTTCTATTTTAATTTATTTGTCTGATTTTCACTTGACATAAAATAAAAGAAAAGAAAAAAATCTTTTGAATCTTGCGTTTTAAAGTATGTAAAATTTACTAATTATTTAATTATTTTTTTGGTAATTAAACTAAAAATAAAAATAAGATTGAACAAATTGAAACGGAACAGAAGAGTTACATGTCAACATAAATTAGTTGGTACAACTCTACATGTGAAAACAAACTTTCATGTGCAAAGCGTTAATTAAATTGCTAAAAGGTATTTCAAGTTTTCTGGTATTGAAAAACTCTGGAAATCTTCAAATAATAATGTCATATCAAGTCACTTCTAGAGGCTTTTTTTTTTTGTTTTCATTCGGTGTCCGAAAGCCTACATTGAAGTCCCGATTAAATTTGGATTGCACTATGGCCCATTCGGGAGTGACGCTCCCAACAGAATTTTTTTCATACACAAGGCTCGAAGGGTGAAGCAGTCTCATCACTGCACCACAACCATTTTGATTTTTAGAGGCTTATCCATCATTTCTCTTCATTTTTTTCCTTCGGTATTCCTATTGGAGCCCGATTAAAAAGTAAGTTATTTGGTACAACAGTCAACATTGACCATCAATTATACAAATGGCATGTGATTGTGAAAGAATGATACACTTAACAGGCCATGCGCCATCAACATTCAAATAGTGGGCTACAACATTTAATTTTTCCAGCCTCATTGCATCATTGAAAAAGTCATCACACACCTTTAAGGTTGGTGGGGGTACTACTCAAAAATATTAAAAGCACCACATTGAGCTATTCCTAGGCCAAATAATCCTTAATACTTATTCCAAACTTAAATTTGAAGCAAAGCCTAGATATTAATCCTTGTTTTTTTTCTTTTTGTTGTGTCCCAAAATGGAGAATTTTAGATCAAACTCAACAAGAGAAAGAAGGGGAGGTCCAATTAGTATGCAAGATTTGAGAAGTTATAGTACTAATTCACATGCAACAACTTCTAGTAATAATAATAATGATTATAAGGAAGTGAAGATGAAGAGGAGCAAAAGCAAAGTGATTTCATCATCTTCTTTGAAGAATTGGAGTTTTAATGATCCTGAAATGCAAAGGAAGAAAAGGGTTGTTGGATATAAAGCTTATGGTGTGGAAGGTAAGATGAAAGGTACACTTAGAAAGAGCTTTAAGTGGATCAAGAATACTTGCAATCATGTTGTACATGGATTATGGTGAGTGGTCATCAATTATCAGCCGAGGGTTTTTCAGAAACAGCTGTTTTAACTTTTACCTCTCCACGAGATAGAATTGAGGTCTATGTACATTCTATCGTTCTCAAATCTTATCAATGGGATTATACTGGATATGTTTGTTGTTGGTTGGTAATTTTCTTAATTGGTTGTTTTTCATTTGTCTTTTCATAATTACGCATTTAATCTTTTGTTAATTAGAGACAGTTTTTTCTTTTTTCCCCCTTTTTATGAAGAATGATCTGAGAGTCTCATGAACTCAGATTGTTGTGATCTTGTTAAAAATCATTATCTTAATGTAACAAATTGTTCTCCTCTTCCAATTTTGACTATACTTGACAAGGTGCGATCTACTGATCAATAAAGTGGTTGAGAATAATAATAGAACCTTTTAGGTGCAAATTCCAATTAAAGCAATAATATTAGGTGATTTTTTTTTATTTGTTAGAATCTTAACTAATAGAGTTTTATTGATGAAAAACAACAGGTAGTAGTTACTTACATTGGTTCGATTCTTCGATTTAATTTTATTAATAATTATTTAGTTTTTTGTTGGCAGATAGAGAAATCAATTCAGAACATTGGTTCAATTACAGTATATATTGGCTACTATTACTGATAATTCCAATTAAAATAGTTGTTGCCGCTTTCAATTTATAAGATTTGATTTATTACCAATCAAAAGTTGTCTTATAGTATTTAAACGATAATTTTATTTTTTTAAAGAAGGGATTTAGGACATATTCTTTTTTAGAAAATAAATCTCAACAAGGATTTAAATTAATTTCTTTTATTGGATTTTCATTTTTCTAAATAAAAATCTAACGATGAAATTTGTCAAAAAATAAAAAGAGTAATAACAGTTGGAGTGAAATTGGTTTAAGAAGGCTGTCTCTTTCAATAATTAAATGCAGAGTACTATAATAAATTGTTTAATTGGCAGTCTGTCTTTTGCTGAAAAAGAGTAAAACAGAATCAGTAGACAGATATTTTGAGTCCCACAAAACATGTGCATTCATTGTACTGGAAAACTTCACTGAATTCCACAACCTCTTTTTTTTTTTTGGTTATTAGTCCCAAAACATACCATTTATATTATTGGGCTCGTGCATAGCACGGGCAACATTATCTAGTATATATATAAAGAGTACTTCAATAGTGAGTCCTTTGAAGGGTCAGAAGCCCAACTTGTCATATATATTCCCTCAGTCTAATTTTATTTATCGGTTGTGTTAAAAATAAATATTTATTTTTATTTGTTTGATTTAAAAACTCAAAAAAAATTAGTACTTGATTCCTAATTTGCCCTTAGAGCAACTTTCACATATAGCAAACATAAAATTCATATTTGTATGCTATAGCAAAGTTTTGCATAATTACGACTCCATAGCAAACATAAATATGTATATTTCGCTATACATATACAAAAAGATCAATTGTATAAAGTGAGAGGGGAGTGAGAGAGCGAGATCTGGGAAAGTGGCGAGCGAGATCTGGGGAAGAGGGGAATGAAAATATATGTATATATACAATTTTCACGCATTTTATACATTTACGTTTTTGTATAAAGTGAGAGAGGCGAGTGATAGAGCGAGATCTGGGAAAGTGGCGAGCGAGATCTGGGGAAGAGGGGAATGAAAATATATGTATATATACAATTTTCTACTCGTTTTAATACTAAACACTAAACACATTTTATACAATTTGCGTTTTTGTATAAAGTGAGAGAGGCAGTGAGCGAGCGAGATCTGGGAAAGTGGCGAGCGAGATCTGGAAGAGTGGCGAGCGAGATCTGGGAAAGTGGCGAGCGAGATCTGGAAGAGTGGCGAGCGAGATCTGGGGAAGAGGGGAATGAAAATATATGTATATATACAATTTTCTCTCGTTTTATACAAAAACAAACACATTTTATACAATTTGCGTTTTTTGTATAAAGTGAGAGGGGAGTGAGAGAGCGAGATCTGGGAAAGTGGCGAGCGAGATCTGGGGAAGAGGGGAATGAAAATATATGTATATATACAATTTTCTCTCGCTTTATACAAACACAAACACATTTTATACAATTTGCGTTTTTTGTATAAAGTGAGAGAGGCGAGTGATAGAGCGAGATCTGGGAGAGTGGCGAGCGAGATCTGGGGAAGAGGGGAATGAAAATATATGTATATATACAATTTTCACGCATTTTATACATTTACGTTTTTGTATAAAGTGAGAGGGGAGTGAGAGAGCGAGATCTGGGAGAGGGAGAGTGGAGAACAAAATATATGTATATATACAATTTTCTACTCGTTTTAATACTAAACACTAAACACATTTTATACAATTTGCGTTTTTGTATAAAGTGAGAGAGGCGAGTGAGCGAGCGAGATCTGGGAAAGTGGCGAGCGAGATCTGGGGAAGAGGGGAATGAAAATATATGTATATATACAATTTTCTCCCGTTTTATACAAACTACAAACACATTTTTATACAATTTGCGTTTTTGTATAAAGTGAGAGAGGCAGTGAGCGAGCGAGATCTGGAAGAGTGGCGAGCGAGATCTGGGGAAGAGGGGAATGAAAATATATGTATATATACAATTTTCACGCATTTTATACATTTACGTTTTTGTATAAAGTGAGAGAGGCGAGTGAGCGAGCGAGATCTGGGAAAGTGGCGAGCGAGATCTGGAAGAGTGGCGAGCGAGATTCACCAGGAGAGAGGTGAAATAACAACAGTTTGCTATGAGGTACAATTAAATCAAACTATATTTATAGCATTTAATTTGAATTAATAGTTTGCTATTATATACAATTTTCCCTTGCCCTTATCATTAACTATTATTATTTTCTAGTTCATTTTCTAAATCATTAAATTTATTGTATTCAAATGATGATATAATAAAATTATTGTTCTATTTATTTAAAATATGTATCAAGTTAATATTGTACAATTAAAACTAAAAAGAGAAAGTACTAATAAAGAATTAATCAATCACATACATTGAATACCACATTTTTGGTGTATACGATGCATTTCAAGTGTGCCAAGCAAAATTGTGCAACTGACAATTCGAAAATCATTTGTTCTCTTTTTCTTTGTGGATACAGAATAAAAACTTTACCTAAAAAGATCCAAATTAAACTTTGTATAATGAGGTTAAATTTTCATTATAAATGGCAGTAGTACTAATTACAATCACTAGTCGGCATCACTCATTCTGGTTAATTATTGCATACCAAAAGTTAAAATATTGCCAAAGATAAACTACTTTTCTTAGGGTAAATTGCTACAAGCATATTTTCCTGTCCTTTCAATAAACTCTTCATATTATTTGGAGAAATGCCACTCCATAATCACTACTAAAACGTCGCGATTTTCCCATTGAATAATGTTCAGTGGCTATTCCCAAAGACAGATTGATTGAATTAGTGAGAAAAGATAAAACAATATTGTTTTCATATGGAAAAATTAGAAAGTTGTCCACTATTTCAGTGAGAATTTGTTTTCCACCATGCATTTACCTGGTTAGCATAAATTTTTCACGGATTCACGGAGGTAAAAAACATTTGTTTCTAGTAGTGAAAGGTAAAGAGACAAGACTTCCACAAGCTTAAAGAAGAATATAAGATCAATAAACACTCATTAAGGATAATAACAAAAAAAAAAACACTATCAAGACTTCTCAGTTTATCATTCATATTTCTGTGCTAAAACAAGAACACAACATTAATCAAGAACTTAACTACACTAAAAATTAATGCCAAAGAAGTATAAGAATTTGGAAATGAAATAAAACCAAGACCTTACTACATACTGACTGCAAAATTCTTAGCAACATTAATGCCACGGGTGCGTTTTCGATGCTAGATAATAATGGTAGTTTAAAATGATTTCTATACTATAAGCTTGGAAAATTATCTTCTTACTCACCTTATAAAGATGAAGTTTTCAGAGGAGGTCAGCAACATTTGAAGGGAGTTCTTCGATGACCACATTGTAGAATTTTTGAATATCAAACAACATTCTTTCGTCGTCTGTTGTCACAAAGTTGATTGCAACTCCTTTCCTTCCAAACCTTCCACTTCTTCCAATACGATGGAGATAATTCTCCGGCTGAGTTGGGAGATCATAGTTGATAACAAGGGATACTTGTTGTACATCGATACCACGGGCCAACAGATCAGTTGTGATAAGGACACGGGAAGAACCAGAACGAAACTCACGCATGATTATGTCTCTAGTGTTCTGGTCCATATCTCCATGTGTAGCTGAAACCGTGTGGTCACGGCTTCTCATTTTGTCCGTTAACCAATCGACCTTGCGCCTAGTGTTCACAAAGATAACGCTCTGAGTGATGGCAAGTGTCTCGTATAGATCACAGAGCGTCTCAAGCTTCCATTCCTCCTTATCAACATTGACATAGAACTGTTTGATACCCTCGAGTGTCAATTCATCGCGTTTAACCAGGATTCTCACAGGCTTATTCATGAACTTTCTTGTGATGTCAAGGGCTTCTGGTGGCATGGTCGCAGAAAACACTCCTACTTGAACTTTGGTAGGCAGCATTTGGAAAATATCATATATCTGCCAATATAGACACATGGATAAAGATTCAAAATTACTAATTTCTCAAAGTCGGCATCGAATCAAATCGGAGGGAAAGGTCATGAACTCTGTATTTAATTTTACTAATCGTAATCAGCTAATGAAGGAACAAATTCAATTGCTAATTCAATTTACATTATGTCCTTAGGAACCAAATAAATGGGAGGGGTACTAGAGTGTAACTAAACTCAATTGCTAATTCCCGACAATGATTAAGATGACTGGTTAACGGAGTACAAGAACATCTTAACGTCAACTAAATCTGTATCTTCTATATTGATTTCTTCAAAAGAATTAACTCCAGCGATAATCCCAGATTAGCAAACCGAGGGACCTCAAACCTGAATTTGTTCAAATCATATACTTAGGTGTAAAATGCATTAATCTAATTGTAGAGGTTGAAGTACCTGATCCTTAAAACCTCGTGACAGCATTTCATCAGCCTCGTCTAGCACAAACATTCTGAGGCAATCAGGACGGAGGGACTGTCTTCGCAACATGTCAAACACACGTCCAGGGGTGCCAACAACAACATGAACACCAGCTGCGAGAATACGTTGATCCTCCCTGACACTAGTTCCACCTACACAAGCATGGACCTTAACCCCAAGATAGTCACCAAGTGCTCGCATTACCTTCTCAATCTGCTGTGCAAGTTCCCGAGTAGGTGCCAACACCAATGATTGGCATTGAATTAAACCATAATCAAGTTGCTGCAAAATTCCAGAGCAAAAAGTAGCTGTCTTCCCTGTGCCAGATTGAGCTTGTTGAATTACATCAAGTCCCTTGCAAAATGGTACAATACCCCTTTGCTGAATGGCAGATGGTTTCTCAAAACCTTTAAAAGATCACATGCACCAAAAAAGGCGGAATCACGGACAAAATCAACAATGTTAAACCAAAAGAGAAACTTTTTTTCAGAAAACTCTCAACTAAATGGTACTCCCTCTGTTTCAATTTGTTTGTCTAGCTTTGACATGACACGAAGTTTAAGAAAGTAAAGAACACGTTTGAATCTTGTGATCTTAAACATGCCACGTGAAAAGTAGAAATTAAAGAGTTACAAAAAAGAAAAGTAAGACAAACAAATTGAAACGGAGGGAGTACTTCTAAACAAGATGAAAAACAGCTGGATGTATCAAATTTTTTTAAACTACAAATCATGTAAAGAAACAAAGAACTGAAATTTTTTCCTAGACTTGAGAACACTAACTTAAAAGGTTTACATAGTACCATAAGCATAAATGCCCCTGAGAAGATTTTCTTGCAGACCCATAGCATCGAAACTGTCATAAACCTCGTCATATGAAGTAAAGAAATCTTTTCCCTCAGCGGCAAGTCTGCACCATATATAAAATAAGTAATAGAGACAAGTGCAATTTTCAGCATTTAACATATAAAAATTGTATTGATTCAAGGAAGAAATGACTAAAACCACACTGTGCAATGAATATCATGATAACTTACAAATCATTCATCTTAGAATCGAATTGTCGAGCATCAAATTGAGCTCCATCTGTTGCCAAGCGTGCCATGACTGCCATGTACCTTTATGCGTAAGTGAATACTAACACTACAGCAAGTGATAAATCTATGACCATATTAATAAAGGAAGAAACTTGAATCTCGAAATGATCATTTTATTGAGGAACCAAAAGGGCAGGGAGAGACATAAGCTTTTCTTCTATATATGTTCACGAAAATGTCGAAAAATCTACCAGTCATGTATAATTGAACACAAGTATTTTCTTCTATGTCTATATGTGGGCAGACATTTGAATGTAGGTAACAAAATACTTACCCGCACTCAATTTTTACACCAAACTAAACAATTTATTCATAACAAACACAAATCAAAATTAGTACATAGCAATATAGTAACTCCGCCCCTGTTTGCAGTATGAACCAATAATGAATCCAGATTTACATACCTCCTGTTTAATTTAATGGATCTCAAGCATAGTAGATTACATTGCCCTCATAATTACTCGAACCTTAAACTACAGATCTCGTATCGATAACTATATCTTAAAATGAAAAAAAAAAAAAAAACTTGCTCAACAGCTCAAGTTTTGATTAATTTTTCTGGGAAACATAACATAACATTCTTCATTATTACAAGTTATAACTAATGCTTCTTCCAAAAAAAAATTCAACCAAATAAGATCCCAGGATTGTTCGATAATTATTATTACTATATAGAAACAGAGACAATCAAAGAATTAAATGTGTAAGTAAGTAAGATATGTGAAAATTAATGAGGAAAAAAAAGACAAGATTAACGTACTGATTAGTACAAAATTAGGAACGTCGACGGTAATAGCGTTGTATAAGAAAGTGAGAATGAGCTAGCTAAAAATAAACACTTAATTTTTTTGTTTGTTTTTCTGTTAAGAGAAGTATGAAGAAGAGGCAAAGGTCTTTCCATAAGCATATAAAACGGGTCTAAAGGACAGGTGTCAAAACATTCCATCCACTTCCCTTGTTTAATTTTTTTTTTTTATAAAAAAAAGTGAGATTATTTTATTTCCTGTTTGATTATATTAATTAGTTCCGTTAGAGTTAATTTCATAAAATATTTCATACGTTGAAATTTTCTTATATATATATATCTTATCTGCATATACGCAAGTGTTTTAATTTATAGTGTATATAAGTTTCAATACTCTAAGGACCTTTTAGATGGAGAAGTGAATCATTGGAAAGAGTGTTGAAGTTCAAGAGATCGAAAATTCTTGAGAAGCAAGCACCGCTTGTCCAAAAGATGCCAATTTCTTCTAAGGGATGATCCCACTCGATTGCTTGATGGAGTTCATTGAAGGTACAATCAAAGATGAAGTCTAAGTATAGGAGTGCCATATACATTATACTTGGTACTAAATTTTAGCATAATGTTTAGTTGTAAATTTGAGTTTGGTTATACACCCCATACTATTTTTATAGGATATTGGATTTTAGTTTTCTTTTTCATGTTAGCTTATTAGATCTATAGATAAGTTTGGTAGAGTTGATAAGAATAATACTTTCTCTGTGCCTAATTACTTGTCCACCTTTTCTTTCTTAGTTGTCCCTAATTACTTGTTCATTTTGACAAATCAAAAAATGACAATTTTTTTATATTATTATACCCTCATTTAATTACTTTGAAAACTGTAGAACTTCTTGAAAATCTTAAGTTTTTAATTCATCCACTTCATAATTAATAGGGGTAAAATGGTAAACTCACTCTGTCAATCATTATTTTCTTAATACGTATATCAATTCAAAAGTGGATAAGAAATTAGAAACAATAGAAATACTTAATACAGTGTATTAATATATGAAATTAGTAATATAGAATTAGTTCAAAACTTATAATTGCAAATTATAATAGGAAAATTGTATATAATAGCAAACTATTAATTCAAATTAAATGCTATACCATAAGGCGGCTTTTCTTTTTTCGGTATGCCGCTCCGTTCCAAGCTTCAACCCACTGCTCGAGCAACTTGCAATATAGTTTGATTAAATTGTACCTCATAGCAAACTGTTGCTATTTCACCTCTCTCTTGGTGAATCTCGCTCGCCACTCTCATTCTCTCCCTCGCCTCTCTCGTTTTTTATACAAACGCAAGTGTATAAAGTGCATTTGTGTTTGTATAAAAACGAGAGAAAATTGTATATATACATATATTTCGTTCCCCTCTCTCCCCTCTCCCAGATCTCGCTCGCCACTCTCCCAGATTCGCTCTCTCACTCGACCTCTCTCACTTTATACAAAACCGCAAATGTATAAAATGCGTGAAAATTGTATATATACATATATTTTCGTTCCCCTCTCTCCCTTCTCCCAAATCTCGCTCGCTATTCTCTCAGATCTCGCTCGCTCACTCGCCTCTCTCACTTTATACAATTGATCTTTTTATATATGTATACCAAAACAGATTATACAACTGCTTTTTTTTGTATATGTAGAGCGAAATATACATATTTATGTTTGCTATGGAGAGAAATTATGCAAACTTTGCTATAACATACAAATATGAATTTAGTGTTTGCTATATTAGAAAGTTGCTCAATTATAATCTCGAAATAACCTAATGGGCGAACCAAATGAATCACAAGTCCAAAATGGAATATTGGACAAAGCCCAATAGGAATAGGAAATAGGATAGTACAAGGCCCATTGGAATTTTCATATTCCTTCGTTGGTTCCAATGCTTAGCCTAAATTTAGTGTTTGCTATATTATGAATTTAGTGTTTGCTATATTAGAAAGTTGCTCAATTATAATCTCGAAATAACCTAATGGGCGAACCAAATGAATCACAAGTCCAAAATGGAATATTGGACAAAGCCCAATAGGAATAGGAAATAGGATAGTACAAGGCCCATTGGAATTTTCATATTCCTTCGTTGGTTCCAATGCTTAGCCTAAATTTAGTGTTTGCTATATTATGAATTTAGTGTTTGCTATATTAGAAAGTTGCTCAATTATAATCTCGAAATAACCTAATGGGCGAACCAAATGAATCACAAGTCCAAAATGGAATATTGGACAAAGCCCAATAGGAATAGGAAATAGGATAGTACAAGGCCCATTGGAATTTTCATATTCCTTCGTTGGTTCCAATGCTTAGCCTAAACAATTTTCTTTGTCATCTAAGGTACTCTCGATCATCTTTGTCAATCACTTTCTGAAACCCTAGATCTCGGTCACCATACTCTACTGCAAACCATTTGCAAGGTTTGATTCTTATTTTCTCTCCTTTTGTTTAGTTTTTGGAGAAATTGGTTTGTTATGATTTAGATCTTATGGAACTGAATTTGCTACTGTTTCGCACCTTCATGCTACCATTAGAAGCTGTTCAAGTTTGAATCACTGGTCCAATGGTGAAATTTTGATTTTTTTTGTTCGTTTTGAAATATTCGCTATTGGATTATGTAAAAATTGATGCGGAAAAAAATAGTAGAAGTTTGATCGATGATCAGGATTCTATTGACAATGAGGAATTCAGCTGAGAAAACAGCTTGCTATTATGTTTTTCTCATTAACAGTTACAATTGAGCTCATTTTACTCGGGAAACCTAAAATTTTATTTTGATATTAGTGCGGCATTTAGATAGGTTGATACATACAAAAGTATAATAGTTCTTGTCAGGATGTGTTACAAAATATTGCGAGCATGACATACCCGCTGCCTTCAGAATGTTGCGAGCATGGCAGACCCGCTGCCTTCTGCTCCTATTATATGCGTAGAATTGTTACATACACGTATAGTAGGTCTGAACCCATTTCACAAAGAAGTAGTGGGTGCAATGGTACGCTGTATTTTACTGACTTAAAATCCTGGATGGGGATTTGTGGAATGTTTTTAACGCTTATGGTCTCTGCCAGCATGTGTGCTGTAAATCGCTTATAGATTTGCTAATATGTTCGTTCATGTGTTATATACTTAATGCTGGATTTGATAATTTGTTTTGTTATTGCAGAGAATAATATCCCCAAGTTGGTAAAATGGCTGACGATAGTAAGGCAGCTGAGAACCATAACCTCACTTCGGATAGTAACTTATCTTCAGAAAGCGGTAATGAGGTATCAATTGATTCCTTAACACGAAAGTTACAAGAATCTCTCTCATTGCCGAAGAGGCATAAGTTTTGGGAGACCCAACCAGTGGGCCAGTTCAAAGATCTTGGAGATGCAAGCTTGCCTGAAGGTCCTATTGAACCTCCAACACCCTTAACTGAAGTTAAACATGAGCCTTACAATCTTCCTAGTCCATATGAGTGGACCACCTGTGATTTGGACTCGGAAGATATGTGTAGTGAGGTATATCTTCTGCTAACAAACAATTATGTTGAAGATGATGAGAACATGTTTAGGTTCAATTACTCAAAGGAATTTCTTCGATGGGCACTACATCCTCCAGGTTACTATAAGAGCTGGCACATAGGAGTCAGAGTGAAGACCTCAAAAAAATTGGTTGCTTTTATTACAGGGGTACCTGCAAAGATACGTGCTAGAGATACCGTCGTGGTCATGGCGGAGATAAACTTTCTGTGTGTTCATAAGAAGCTTAGATCAAAGAGACTTGCTCCTGTCATGATAAAGGAGGTCACAAGGAGAGTTCACTTGGAAAACATTTGGCAAGCTGCTTATACAGCTGGGGTGGTTCTTCCAACACCTGTATCCACATGCCAATATTGGCATAGATCTTTGAATCCAAAGAAGCTTATCGATGTCGGATTTTCTAGGCTTGGTGCGCGGATGACAATGAGCCGCACAATAAAGCTTTACAAGTTACCTGATCAGACCGTCACACCTGGGTTCAGAAAAATGGAGCCCCATGATGTTCCCGCTGTTACTCGGTTGCTTAGGGATTACTTGAAGCAGTTTGTGGTTGCACCTGATTTTGATGAAAATGACGTGGAGCACTGGCTTCTGCCAAAGGAGGGTGTTGTTGACAGCTATCTGGTTGAAAGCCCCGAGTCTCATGAAATCACTGACTTCTGCAGTTTTTACACCCTCCCTTCATCAATTCTTGGTAATCAGAATTATTCCACTCTGAAGGCTGCTTATTCTTATTACAATGTTTCAACTAAAACTCCATGGATTCAGTTGACGAATGATGCTCTCATAGTGGCTAAGAAAAAGGATTTTGACGTTTTCAATGCTCTAGATGTTATGCATAACGAAACTTTCTTGAAGGAACTAAAGTTTGGCCCCGGTGATGGGCAGCTCCACTACTATCTCTACAACTATCGAATAAAGCATGTTTTAAGACCATCAGAACTTGGGCTTGTACTGTTGTAGTTTGTGCTCGGGAGATAATTACCTGCCTGGGAAGCATTTATTTTTTTTGATGTGCTCGGTCTCATTTTGAGCCCCCCTAATTGCTCTGTTAAACTTTGTTTGCATCCATGAATAGATAAAAGGCATAAGTGTGAAACTTCTGAACATAGTCTTTGCACTTAAATTGATTGTACTTTATGATGTCTGATCTTACATAGTTCATCCATGTTGATCTCAAGATCTTAAATATTCAGAACCATGGATAAAGAATTTTTTCTCTTACCTTATTTCTTACCAACTGTCATCTTTTGCACAACTACGGAATCAATTCTTTTCTTGAAATTTTGAAAATGTTACACCAAATACATTGAAAAAATTGGGCCACTCTGGTAGTGTTCCTGTTATCTGGAAGGTAGGAGATTAATTGTGAACAAAGTATAAAGTTTAATGCAAATCTTTCCTCTTGTAGTGATACTTTTTTCTTGTTTAGTTTTACTTTGTGTTGCTTAGAATGTATAATACTTCTTGCAATGCTTAAAATTTTACACCTTCATGATCCTTTAGCTGCAAGTTCCTAAATTAATTACCTAGCAAGAATATATGTTTTTTACATGGGATGTCCATTTTGCCCTACTTACATGAAAACGTGCTTAAAGTGGAAAAGAAGATAAAAAGTCCGTTTTGGTTTGATGATAAGCAAATAAGCATCAAGAGTTAAAAAGTACTTTTTGCATTGAAACTGATTTTACAAACTTGCAATGTGATTTCTTTACCCCAACTGCGCGTTGGTTTACTTTTGCCTTTGTCTATTGTCAAAGACAATTATTGTTTCCATAGGCTCAATGAACCAAGATTCACAAAAAATGACGATTTCATTAGAATATCAGTTTTTGTACAAGAATTCCATTTACTTTGACATTCACTGGAATCAAAAAAGTATTTCCCTGTTTCCAAATTTACAACGGGGCGCTGTGATGGTGACTATATATTGTATCTCTGTACATTTAGTATTCACAGATTTTCTGGACTGAAGAGGCCAAAATATGCTTGAAAACTGAGGTGGTGACCAGCGGTATCACCTGAATGGCATCAAAATTGAGATATTAACATATTTGAAAACAATTCATGGAACCCTAGTCGTCAGGGTTAATGGAAGGGGGGAAATTTTTCAGAAACTATTTTGTAAGTAACTAATGAAGGCTTCTGGTAATCATTACCTTGTCAATAGGTACAAGAGCAGTTATGCTGCTTTATCTGATTGACTGTCAGAAATGCTGTTTCTTACTTCCTGATAGAAAAAAAGGACATAGAGCAGCTTAAGTACATGTAGTATCCATTTGATTAAAAAGGGCAGCCTGGTGAACTAAGTTCCGGCTATGTGTGGGCACAGGGGAAAGCCGGACCACATTGAATGCGTATAGTATTCAGTCAATGCCTATGTCCGAAAAGTATGAGCAGTTTCCACTCTGCTCGTACTGAATACAGGTAATTCCCCGCCACTTGCTCAGCATTTTAATAGAGGGACAGCCAGTGGTGAGGCCATTTGACCAATAAAATATAGGGACAAGAAGCTTGAAATTAAAAAGGGTGAAATCAGTGGCTAATCTACCTTTTCAGCCTGAGTTAAGACAAAGGAATGGTCTCACTCAAGAGGAATGCACCTTCATTAAATGAAGAAGCTGAGTGATTGACATCGAATAAGAGGTGTGATCAAATTATGTTATATTAGGGGTACCTGGGCCGAACATAAAATGAAGCTTAAGTTAAGGTAACATACCTCACTCACTGCTAAGCTCTCTTGTGAACTTGAGGGACGTAAAGTGAGCAGACCTCCAGGTCTGTAGTCTAATGCAATGTTTTTTAGTCGTTTCAATTCAGGCAATATGACTGAACCAAGGTCTGGCCTGTCCTTCCTCCTGAGTTCGCAACATTTCAGAGACAATTTAGCAAAGGATAGCGCCTCCTCCAAGGGCCAATCACTCACTGATGGATCTAGTATATCATCAAACTTTCCTTTTTCAATTGACCTCTCAACATGGTGCGTCAAACCCATTGGAGGCCTTGCTGTAATTATTTGTAATAACATGATTCCCAAAGAGTAAATGTCTGATTTTGTATTCAGCATCCCAGTCTGTTGATATTCTGGGTCAATATAGCAAAATGTCCCAGCAGCTGATGTCATGAGACACTGAGTGAATCTGCCTGAGACAGACGCTGGAACTAATCTGGCTAGGCCAACATCACTAATCTTACTTTTGTAGTTAGCATCCAAGAGAATATTAGCAGGTTTGAGGTCTCGATGCACGATGGGTTCTGGTTTTGTTCGGTGAAAGAAGTGAAGAGCAGCAGCAATTTCTGCAGCTATCCTGAAACGAGCAGGCCATGGTATAGGAGAACTTTTGTCCTTGCAGAACAGCCTATCCTCTAAGCTGCCATTCTCCATACATTCATAGACAAGGCAACCATACTCCGGACATGTTCCCAAGAGAAGAACCACATTTGGATGTCTCAAGCGGCTTAGAACCTCAATCTGCAATAAAAATAGGCACCTACAACTGTATTGGATTTCCAAAAACATCTGTGTTATCTGTAAACATGAAAAAGTACCTCTTTCTGAAACTGTATTTGCCCCTGCGTGATGTCCGACCTTAGAACCTTAATAGCAACTGAAGTGTGATCCAGATAGCCTTGGTACACAGGACCATATCCACCTTCACCAATCTTCTGTGAATTGGAGAAGTGGTTTGTTGCAGCTTCAATTTCATCTGTTGAGTATCTCCTATAGCAATTTTCACTGCCGGCAAATGCATCTTGTGCTTTCTTCTTCTCTTCTGCTTCATGCCGAAATTTCTTTTCTACACCCTTTCGCTTCTTAGATTCCAATTCTGCCATGTGTTGTGCCATCTGTGCTACTTCTAAAGCAGCTTTGCATTTTTGCTTCTCCTTTTCCAACATAGCATGTGAAGCCTCAGGGGCCTCCTTGGCTTCTTCTAAGTTGCATGTCTCTTTTGTCGTTGAACGATCAATCTCTCTTGCCTTAAAAAATATGGAAAGTAAGTTGCGTCTAAATGTGTAATTATATGGAGTAGCGAAAATGAATAATTCAGGTGCTGACAAAAATATGTGACTGTCGAACTCTGACCTGTCGTCTACAGATTCCATTGTGCAAATCCAGGCTTTGCTTCAGTTCAAATTTTAGCCTTTTCATTTCCTCCTCCAACTCATCCTGTATTGCATGTAAAAATGAGGAAAGAATAGCCAGTTGATCTGTGTTAACTACAATCTTTCAGGTCACATTATGGTGCAGTTTTTAGATAAGCTCAAGGACACTTAAAACTTAAATATCTTGCGACAATGAGTAACGTAGATAGGCCATAAGATTCAATCTACAACTAGACTGCCCATATTGGTTTTCGATATAGTTTTTAAAAACATAGATTTACTCTCACAAAATAAACTGAGTACTAATGCTGTTATCTAATCATGTGATAACCATTACCAAGGAAAACACAGGAGCTTAAAACTTTAATTGGTATTGTGACTTAATTGTCCACTGCACAACTATCTCCTAGCTATACATGCCCATTTGGACAGGGTTCTAGCAGAATAGTTGCTTGTGGATTCCCTACAAAGAAAAAAGTAGACGACATAGCCTTAGATGTTTGCTGCTGTAGTAAATAGTGTAATAACAAGTGATCTGCAACAGCCAAAATGGTTTGTGAAACCAAGGTTTAGGCTTTTAGAGTGGTTCAGTTTTTGCCAAATCAGGGGAGCATATTTGAACTTACTGCATTTTGGGAGGAGATGGAACACCTAGAAGCATCTGAAACATTATGAGAAGAGTCCGAATGCTCAAAGGACATATCAGAGAAACGGTAACTTGAGGAGCTTGAAAGATTACTCGAACCAGATGTAGAGTAGAATGAATTCTCTTTAGGGCGCATGCGAAGATTTAGGTTATTGACTTTGTGCTGGGATGGAGGTAGTAGGCTACCAAGATGTCTATCATGTAGTATTTTAGTAGTATCCATATTTGAATTCATAAAAGCCTGGGAGGAATTTTCACTACTTCCAACTAGCTCTGTGGGTGGTGCCCATTCACCAAAATCACCACTATTGCCCCACGATGGGATCGGAGTAAGATTCTTGCAGCCAGGCTGCCTCGTTAGTTGAATTTTATTAAATACTTCACCGATAGTGCTGACAGATCGATCAGGTGAAGGATTCCTGCTGCTGTGTTGGCTGTCCGACCATGCCTTTGGTGTACGCTCACTAGCACTGCTGTAATTTGGTGAAGTACCCTGACTTGCAGGATGCCTATCTGAGGCACTACTGCTATCAGAAGATATGCTCCGGCTGCCAGCATCAATAGGTTCAAAGGTCCCAATACTTCCCCAACTCCCCTGGCTGAAATATTGTATATTAAAATCATGAAGTAAGATGTTATGACATACAACAACAACCCAATGTAATCCACAAGTAGGGCCCGAGGAGGGTAGTGTGCAAGCAGACCTTTCCCCTACCTGGTGAAGGTAGAGAGATTGTTTCTCATAGACCCTCTGCTCCCAGTAAAGCGTAACACAAATCAGTAAGAAAAGAAAATACAGTAGTGAAGAAGTCATGTAGAAAAAAGGAGAAAAGAACTGTAGCAACAACACATAATAATGACAACTGAAACAAAGGAATGTTATGTCATACATGAAAGAGGAATAATCTTCTGGAATAATTATCTAAAGAGTCTTATCAGTACCTTAGAACCATGATGAACCTTACTTTTAACAACCATGGGAGGTTTTGTGGATAGACTTACGGAATATGACCTCGAGAAATTGGGGAATTGTGTGAGAATCCTGTTTGGCTGGAGCTTGCTTTACTGCTAGGAGTGGCAGGTTGACTTGCTGACTTAAGTTTTAGAACTTTCCCCCTTGATATGGCATAGATTGAGCAGAATTCAGGCACAGATCTGGATAAAGAGCTTGGCACATCTTGAATTTTAAATGCTCTGACATAGAAAGCCGAGAATTAGAACTCTTTATTAACTACAAAGAAAAACCAAGGAAGCACTTGATGCTCAGACCCTGCTAACATACTCTAGACGAAAAACTAACACCCACTCATACCTTGTAAGGGCATTCCGGGTTGAAGCACCAAAGACGATGGTGGTGATGAATTTCTGAGATATATACTCGGTTAGTGCTTGTGCAACATCAGTGTCCTGGAGAATCACTTCCTGTGCCTGAATCTGGAATGATCAAAGTAATCACAGAATGCTCACAACTGCATAAATTCTAATATCATGTTAAGTTGTAACCTTGTGATTTCAAAGATTTGTGGATCCTTTCACCTCAAAATATGAAGAACACTGTTCAAGTATTCACTTTTTTTCCTCACAGACTATAACTAAAGCCTGAATATCATGCTAATTGCTTTCAAGAAACAGAAAAATCCCAAAATTAAAATAAGGACTAACAATTTTCAATCGAACTACAACTTAAAACATCTGATCCTCTATTATCCCTTTTGGCTTTTCTTCATAATCCCACTAATTGAACTGAAATATGAATAACACTTCTTAACAACAGCAACAATAACATACTCAGTCTAATCCCACGAGTAGGGCCGGGGGAGGGTAGAGTGTACTCATAGACCCTTGGGTCAGTTAAATCAACAACACTGCTTAAAAGAGACCAATTAGATTTAAAAATAAATAAATAGATGATTTCAAGGTTATTACCCCTTTTCGAGCACAAATTCCACGATAAGGAAGGAAGAACTGCTGCATTTCAGCCATTGTGGGAGAATGACTAGCAACTGTGCTTTCTGTAATGTATGAAAAGATGAACATAAATGCTAAGTGTTAAATAGATAAAAAAAATTAAGATCTCGACGTTAACATTAGATTTTATACATCAAATTTGAAGGCATTGCTCCTCTTTTATTTTGCTTTTTAATCAATTCCTTACAAGTTAGCTTAGCAAAACACAGATTAATCAAGGTTGTAACAGGCTGTGCGGAGCCAGGATTTTCAGCAAGAGGATTCAATATATAAAAATATATAACACGAAGAAACCTTATACTGTGATTTTTTTTTACCAAGTGGTTCCCCTGCGTTACCCTGGCTCCGCCCTTGGCAGCAGCCAGCCGGATGACTATCAACATGAAAATTATCGAAATAATTATCCAGAATCCAAATAATTGCCCTAAAAAAAGTTTAAATTGAGGCATAATACATACGGGAATTGAGATTTTCGTTATGGAGATGAACGTGTATAAGGAGGATTTCGCCATTCTTCTTTACAAGGAGGTTATCAACCGCCCAACGCACAGCATGTTGGCTATTTTTGTCTCTGTCTATGGCCACAGCAATCATGCTATCACTCCTTTTCATGATCCGGCGAATCTAGGATTTATAATCCTAGCTGAGTATAATGTGTGCGTATATATATTTACACAAGCATTAATTTTTATTTTTTTTGGGCTTATGTACTTGTGAATCGAGGCGAAGCAATGGATTCCGTGAACCGCTCTAGATCCACCTCGCCGGTACCGGAATCAGCACCGGCAGCCGCTTGGTTTGGTCGTTAAAGGCGGAACACAGCCATGAATGCACCGTTGTGCGCCGCCGCGGGCACCACCAAAAGGAAACGGAAAACTTGTTGTTATTGATATTCTGAATGGTTTGGGGAAAAAATATATGAAAATGATAGAAAGAAGGACGTTGTGTTTTTGATATATGGGATATAGTTCTTCGTTGCATGCTCTAAATTTTAGGAGCCAATTTCAAAGCTTCACCTCTCAATATTCCAAATCATAATTCATAATGTCACTCATATATTTGACTCCCAAGTTCCCAAACCAAACTGTTTTAAACAAGAAATAGAGGAAGTGTAAAGCTGGTTAGAAGCGCATTTGTAAGGTAGATATTAGTTTTTTCTCTTGTACCTTCATCTTTTCTTTTTAGTCCGTCTCAAAAAGAATATTATCTTATTATAATTAGAAATATTTTAATTTTAAAATATCCTATTTACCTTGAATGAAATGATTTTCAACCACAAAAATATCTAAAAATTGTTTTAAATCACAAATTTCAAAAATCATTTTTTTTAAACATTGTATCAAATCAAATGGTACCACACAGATGGACAGAAGGAGTATTAGTTATGTGAATTTCATAACTTTTTTTTTATTGAAGTGTTTCTTCGTGTGTAAAGTTGAGAAAAAGGAGAATGAGTTTGTCCGACACATGGGTTAGCACCGTTATTTTTAAAAGGAAAAAATGACAAATATACCCCTGAACTATCGTAAATTATGGGTAAACTTACATAAATATACTATAAATAAAAAATATTTACCATTTATAGCAATAACATATTTTTTTCACTTGATCACTTTTAATACATTTATAATACACTTTTAATTCATATTACAAAGAACAATTTATTATTCACATATAATACAAGTTTTATTGATGGATAATACATTTATCACACATTTTAATACACTTATAATATAATGTGTCAACTTCTTACCAAACAAGCATAATATATGTTTAAAAACAGTTATAATACATATATATTGTATACTTAATTCACTTTTAATACATATTGCAGATATAACATAGTATTACTATAAATGGTAATAAATAAAAAGTATCGCTAAAATCAGTAATTATTTATTAAAAGGCAGCCATCCAAGTAATTTTTCCTAAATGTATGCAGATACCCTTCGTCATACTTTTGGGACATTGGTGTCCCTGCCGTTAAAAAATTAGAGCATATATGTCATTCACTCTAACGGAAGACTAAATAGGGACATGTGGCGCAATCTTATCCGTCGATCCGATATTTAATAAATGTCGGGCCGGTGGATAAGATTATGACACATGTATGTTCATTAGTACAAAGGGTATATAGGCTCTAGTTTTTGGACGACAGGGGCACCAATGTCCCAATAGTATAACGGAGGGTATCTGCATACCATTTACAATAGTTCGGGGGTATATTTGTCTTTTTTCACTTTTTAAAAACAGGTTACGTTAGGAAGACCAAAAGTGTTCCATTTATGTAAAGTCAAGGGATTAAATATGCTTAGAGATATATTCCCTCCGTTCACTTTTATTTGTCATATTGCATTTTTCGAAAGTCAATTTGACTAATTATCAAAATTAAATTAGATTCCATTAATTTGATATTTTAAATAAAAAATTTAGATATTAAAAAACTATACAGAAAGTACTATAAATTGTAAATTTTTTTATATCAATATGATGGAAAAATATATTGTAAAATGTTAGTAAAAATGGAATTAAATTAAAAGTGGATGAATGTAGTATTTGTTAGACCCAATGCAGGAATTAATGCAAACTAAATAGGGATATTCTAGTAAATTACACCTTATTCCTTATATTTAAAGGACGTGGAAAGAACTAAAATGTCAGTTGCAACTTCTGTGAACAACCGGTTGGTTATACGATAACTGGCCGGAGCAAACCACCGATTATACGATAACTGTCCGGAGAAAACCACCGGTTCAGTGCACGAACTTCATAGCCGGCCACACTGATTATCGAGCGAGGACGAAGAGACTGTCGCTGCTTTCAGTATCTACCAGGATAACCGTTGGTTCTTCGTCTTATTCCTTCGCAATTTCTTCCTCGCAGTCGTGCTCTGGTTCTTCAGTTTGGGGTAAGACATTTTCGTTTTCAGTCTCTTCTTTATCTTTGGCAATTGGCATTGGGGGAAGGTGTATATTTCAATCAATTTACTTTACACAAATTTCGAAGTAGTTGAAATTCTTGATATAATTTGCAAGTATTTTACTAATTAAGACAAATTAGGGTTTTAAAGTCAAGTATTGTTTGTTTCTCAATGTTTGATATGGAAAATTGAAGAAGGGTTTTGGAAGTGATGCGTAATTGTGTTAACTACTAATGCTTTTCTTGTATCGTACTCAACTTCGATTGCACTACGCTGATGGTTCAAGCTTCTTTGGAATCTTGACTAGGAGTTGAATGTTAGTTTTCTGGCCTAATCTTGGCTTCCCTTTGTGTTATAAGATAGCAGAATTGCAAGCCATGTTGTAGTTGTGTTTCCTAGGCATATGAGAGTTCTTTATCTAAAAGTAACGTCGGAATTTTAGTGGTTACTGATTATCATTTAGTGAAAGTTGAACTCAACATGAACAGTTAGAAGTTAGATGTTCAATTTAGTTCCGTAGGTTCAGATGAATTTTGTTCTGAACATGGCATTTTATTTCCCCATCCCACAGTTAATTTGCTTTAGAGTTTAAGCACAATTAGATTGGAGCAACAGCTGCTGAAGCTGCAAATATCACTTGTTGCAAGAGTCGTGGAGGAGGAATTGAGGATCAGAAGTCAGAACCCAGAATACCACATGGATCAGAGTATGTAATCGTGTTTGATATTATTAGCCGGATCCACACTTTGTTTTCTTAATGAATCTCGTATATTATTTGCCTTAACCTCAAGTTGTTGCATGTTGCTAACATTATGAATCTGGTCTTTTGTTGTGCCTTTTGGTAACATTATGTTAATGAATCGGGCCATTCTTTATTTGAAATTGATAACTTGAGTCAGCAGTATTTATGTTGTGAAGGTGGGTAGTGATAAAGATCTCTATCTTGGAATTTCATGATTTTGGGAAAACGTTTGACTACAATGATTGGGATTGTAGATATTTCAATGAAGTAAACTCTTTTATTTTAACTATCTGGATATTGCTATTCTTTGGGCATAATAAATTTTTTTTCGAGAAAGGTAACATTATATTTATCATTGACACAAAGCCATGCTGGAGTTCTTTGGGCATAATACTCTGTTACAATGATAGATGCTGTGGTTCTTCAGAGATTGATTTAAGATGTAATCACTAATGCGGTTGCATTAATGATTGACCTTGGATTTGTTTTTTTTTTTAAAAAGATGGTCGGCTTTGCTGGTTTCATATGTCCTTCAGGTTTAACTTGTCCAGTTTTCTCGTTATTTCACATTCAGAGGACAAGAATACAGTATGAACATGAACACTGTTCTTTAAAGTTTTATCTCTTTCCTTGAGCTTCACAGAACTATTACATTGTTGACTCTTGTAAAGACATCTGACTATATTACCTCATGTACAGTAATTAGAGCATTATATTTAAGAAAATAAAATTCTGTAGTGATACTTCTGTTTCTAAGCTTCAGTACATTATATCAAGCTCAAGATCAATTATTTATTTCTATTCTACTCTTACCTCAAAGTTAATGAGAAGACCTAATAGCCTTTTAGGCATTGTATGTTGAACTTCATTAGCCCTGAAGAATACATTTCTCATGTTTCAGCCTTTCAGGCGTTGAATTTCAAAAGCCAACCTCTATAATTCAAAATATAAGGTCAAGCATGAATTAGGACTTCAGAAAAGTAGTTCTAAGTTCATATATTTGTTAGCAACTCTAAAAGATTTACCATTCGATATTGAATGTGGACAGATACTACTCATAAAACAAATAAATAAATGGAGATGGATACTAGTTATATATTATGTTGCTGCAGTCTACTGCATCTAATCACTGTTTATTGACCTCACTTTTTATTACAGTTTATGACCAGTAGTGGTTGCTTATGTCATTTTTATGCATACAGATCTCCTGCAAGATGCCAAAGAACATCCCAGTAACAGTAATATGCCCCCGGAAGATGCGGAAAACAATCAGCTGGGAATCTTTGACAGACCTCTTCCTTGCTTTGGTTGTGGAATAGGATGGTTTTCGTGAGTTTCTTGCTTGTTGCTCCTCTTCTCATTCCCCATCTGTCATTTGTGTCATGATCTAGGCTTCTCTTCGGAGTTCGGACGTATCTTATATGATCTAAGTTGTTTTCTTCTTCTCCTATCTATTTCGATTGCAGCCTGCTACTTGGTTTTGTATTCCCATTCATGTGGTATTATGCAACAATTCTTTACTTTCGGAATTACTACCAGAGAGATCCGAGGGAGCGGGCAGGGCTAGCTGCCAATGCAATAGCTGTGAGTTACCATCCTTAACCCTAAGTGCAAGTTGCATTGATTCTGATTTCAGCTTGATCACCTAAAAAATCTTGATAATGTCAAGGGAATATATCTTTTCTACAGCATAATCTTAGTACTCTTGATCATAAAATTTTTTTTGCTTACCTTCTCGGAAATTAAAAAAAAAAGCCAATGAAGTTTAGTTGTCAGTTATTTGTAGGATCAGCAGCATTCTGTCCTCAAAATCCTCTATCTATTTACATTTGTACATGTATCTCAAACAAGTTCATCACTGCAGGCTCTGATATTTACTGTAGCAGCTCTAGTTGCAGTTGCCCTGATTGTATTGTAGTCATCTTCTGCTATACTCTTATCTTAGCTGAAATCCACAATCCAGAGAACTAAGTGATGACTCCCCTATGAAGAAAGTGACTTCACTAGACCACGCGCATACAGAAAGTGACACCTGCTGGAATAATGCTGCAGGCAATGTGGGGAATGGGAGAAAATAGCCCATTACCAAGGGTATGAACATGTAAAGATGTGTAATACTAGTGTCCATTTGTTGTGCTGTCTATTAGACGATAATATGGCTTAATCCTGTAATATTCATGAGGAACCAAAAAAGATTGTTTTTCAGTTGCTCATGGGTGTGTATAATTTTTCATGACTAACTTTTTTTCTTGTTGCTGCCAGTGAATAATATGTATGTTGGTGACAATAATTAACTAAAAAAAATTACCAACTGAGTTTTTCTAAGAAAGAAAAGAGTGTTACATGCAAAGCGAAACTACTCAAATAAGATGCCTGTATAGATACAGTATCTAAAACTGAATCCTCTTTGAGGTAGCCAACAACATGTAAAATAAACTTTTCCCTTCCAAGAAAATGTATGATTTTCACGATAAAAATTCAGAGCCATTTATTCAGTTTTCATGCCATTATCACCCTCAAACTAGAAAACACCACTCATTTGAGGCAAATGCTAATGCTACAAAATGTTCAGAACCAGTTCTGAGTTCTGACACTAGCCAACATTAGTCAAAGGAGCATAAAAATAGCAGAAAATTGCAACCACTAAAAGTTCCATTAATTTACTTAAAACATATTTCTCTCATAAGAAACTCTGAGCCTTTCATGACTCTACCTAATTCTACCAGTCAAAGGATTGCGAAGATGAACTAAAAGATGATGATTTTGGTATATCAGCAGAACTTACTCTTCCATAAAGTTAGAACTTGGAATTTTTGCTCAACAAATACTTCTTCAGAACATCCATGACGGATCCAAAGTCTGCTTTCACTTGTACTGGGGGATTAGCAAACCGACACTCCATGTTCTTTATTTCTTTTGAATGATAATCAACCTTGGATTGAGTAAACTTCAATCCATGAGCTGTACTCACAACCACTGTCCTATCAGTAGGCGCAATAACTCCAGCCTTTCTCAGCTTGGAGAGTGCAGTCAATGCCACACCAGTGTGGGGGCATATAAACATCCCAGTTGAATCAGCCTGAGCCATCGCATCCATCAACTCTTCCTCAGTTGCCTCCTCCACTATCCCATTGGACTTCTTTAGAGCAAAGACAGCCCTATCAATAGATACTGGGTCACCAATCTGTATAGCAGATGCAAATGTTGTATTTGCCTTGACAGGTTTGAAATCTTTCCAACCAGACTTATAATGCACGTAAAGTGGATTTGCATTGGCTGCTTGAGCACAAACAAGTCTTGGGATACGATCAACAAGCCCCAGCTCCTTGCACATGTGGAAACCTTTGTAAAATGCATATATATTGCCCAGGTTACCACCCGGAACTATCACCCAGTCTGGAACTTCCCATTCAAACTGCTGCAGAATCTCTATTGCTGCCGTCTTTTGTCCTTCTAGCCTCAAACTATTCAAGGAATTAGCCAAGTAAATTGGCAACTCAGCTGTGACTTCGCGAATCAACTGCATACAACCATCAAAATCAGTGTCGATACTCAACACAAAGGCCCCATTGGCTATTGGTTGAACCAGTTGTGCCATAGATATCTTATTTGCAGGTAAAAACACAATTGATGGAATGCCTGCAGATGCACAGTAAGCCGACAGCGCAGCGGACGTGTCTCCAGTGGAAGCACATCCAACACCCACAACTGGTTTATGCATTTTCCGCAACCGATTTACTTGACTCACCAATACGGTCATGCCAAGATCCTTGAAGCTACCGGTGTGGCTGATTCCACAATGTTTGACCCACAAATCACTCATGCCTAGGAATTGTTTGCCGTAACGCTCAGCCCAGAAAAGATTGGAATTTCCTTCAAAAGCACTGATAATATCATCACTGTCAATTTCAGGCAGGACCCATTCTTTCTTGGACCAAACACCTGAACCATAAGGCCATGTTGTCTTGCCCACCCTGGAATCAAACAGGGACCGCCAATACTGGCCGTCAAATTTCTTTAGGGCGTCCATATCGTGTTGGACATCAAGTAAGCCACCGGATCGGCTGCGATAAATAATCTCATCGAGAGGATACCACTCGCTGGAGTTAGGATCGGCATTAAAAGGTACATACCTGCAGAAGCATATGCAAAATTTAAAGTTAACAAGTGCAGAGTACAATTGCACCCACATTTCGGTAAAGTAGATGGGAGCTTGATGTAAATATATGTCTATGATTTGCTTGCTACAGTTGGGAAGTAGCAAATTTAGTGAATTTGTATTATTTCACTTTAAATGCCAATGTTATTTAACTGAGCCTATTCAACCTTCAAAATGTGTGATTTTGTTCCCTGAGATAACGTTGTTAAAAAACTTAACAGAATCATTATTTTTACAAACAAAACAGAAGATAAAAGGTGAAAAGAGTGTTGATTGCTGATGTCCAGCACTGATGGGAGGTGGGCATCAAACTAAGCGCACACAGCCTTCATCCTTAAGATTTCCTCGGCATTTCAGCTCTTCTGATTCCACATTTACGCCCACAGAAGGAAAATACCCTTAACTTTCCCTCTCTACCCTGCAAAGGTAGAGGAAAGGTTTGCGTACATCCTACCATCCCCAGACCCTACTTGTGGGATTACACTGGTTATGCTGTTGTTGTTGTCGTTAAGGCAGATACTCTTACAAGGAGAAATCTTCATTTGCATCTAAGAGCACTCAAGCTTTCAAACTCATTATCACTTCCAGACACCTCAAACAGTCAAAAAACCTGATTTGTACTACATTCAGATACGGTGGAGGCAGAAGGCCTCTCCATTCTTGAGCCAGTGAAGTCCAATCTCTCCAACATTCACAGTAATCAGGCAACCCCATAGTCCCATCGTTGTAAAACTCCCAGTCAACAACCCACCATTTAGAACCCCCAAAATAACATTTTTTCTTGCAGCAGCAACAACAACAACATATCCAGTGTAGTGACACGAATGGGGACTGGGAAGGTAGTGTGTATACAAACCTTACCCTACCTTGGAAGGTAGAGAAACTGTTTCCGAAAGACACACCTACCCACAAATTAAGCTGGAAAAAAAAATTGAATCTTGAAGGATGATTAAATAAGGAATATCTGTTTCTACTATTTTTCTAGTTTCTCTATTCATTTAAAATAATGATTCCCTTAAAGCTGAAACTTTATAAAAAAAATTGAATGAATAGAAGATTAAATGCGCTCATTCAAATACTAAGGAAAACCAAAACCGGAATAACGCAATAACAAAGGAACGTTAAATCCCAATTTATATAACTGAAGTCGAATGTAAATGGGTAGCATAATACGCATACCTAGCAGAGAAATTGTGGGAAGAGATGTCGCGTCGGGCTTCCTCACGGATATTCTCGTCAGCAGGGCGGCGGTGCTTCTGAAGTTGTGGAGATTTGGAGTTTGCATCGTCTGAAGAAGATGTGGCTTTGATAGGAGTGAAGAAGGAAGCACGGTTAGATTTAGCAGGGGATTGTTGATGAAGATGAGGGTTAGGAGAGAGGAAAGAGGATCTGAGCATGCAAGAAGCCGCCATTGTTGAAGCAGTGAGAGTGGGCTATAAGGCAGTAGAGATGGTAAAGAGGGAATGAGAAATGTACTCTCCAGTTAGAAATATGCCTCTGCTACTGTTAATTAAGAAAAAATGATAAATAAATATAAATTGTCCAATTTCTAAATAATGTGATTTTCGTTAAGGTGACACTATTTTGAAATGGAATGAGTAGTACATTTTTAAAAGAGTGATACAATTATCAATAATGAACGTGATTTTCATTATGATGACACTTATTTTGAAACGAATGAAATAGTAGGGACAACTTTTTTTACGAGTCAGAATCAAACTTAATATTATTTTAAACAACTGAGTATTGTGGAAATTGTACATTATTAGGAATTACATTTTCGCAAACAAACAGAAGTGAAAATTGTACTTTAGCCTATCAACAAAAAAAAATCGTTATGACTCATTATGTTTGGCTGGATGTAATTTGTATTATCAAACCAAGTCGATTTTTCTCAAGTATAAACAACAACAGACAAGGTGTAACCAAAGTTTTCATGTTACGGACAATGTAATGTGATATTATTGCACCCCACAAGAAAAAGTGAAATGTCATAGCCAAGAGGACTAACAAATTCAATTATTGTATATTCCTTCCGTTCACTTTTACTTATATATTTTGGTAGACTAAGAAATATACGATCTGAGTATACCATCTCTTTTGAATGGTGTATGTAATCAACACGACCATAATTCACAATTATAGGCAACATCAATGTTTAAAAACCAAGAGACATGTACACCAAAGTTGGTGGAAGCTCAATAGATCACATCAATGAGACTTAATCCTACTAAAACGACTAAAGAAGAGACATTATCTGTTTAAACTCACAGTATGTACCTGTTTTTGCTACTTAAGACTCTTTTTATAACTAAACCATCAATAGAACCTTTCCCTATTCATCAGCTGCATGTTCTAACCAACAGTATAGAAAGATGAATCACAGTGCCATTAAACTTCCACTCGTTAGAGAGCCAAACGGCCTGAATAACCTGACTAACAGAAGATGCTACTTTATCAAATTTTATATGTCAACTCGAGCTCTCTTGTGGCTACAAGACGGACACTTGTATTGCTTGATATGCTCAGCCTTGGCAGGGGTAATCTTCACACACTTGCCGTGGAACCACTTTTCACATATGTCACAGCATATCCAAAATTCATCTGCCGCATAATTTTCTCCACAGGCACCACACAGTGTCTCGCCATGCTCATCCTCATCCTCCTGCTCATCCAAACCCTCCTCTTCATCTTTAGGCTGCAACTTTGCTAACTTCTCCTGATAATCTGGTGCCCTCTGCTTTTGCCACCAAAAAGAAAAATAATGATAAACCAAAAGAAGTGAAGACCATGTAGC